AATTGAATATCATTGGGAAAATGTTATAACGTAATGTATATAAAATGTATATAATTTTACTTATATATTTTTCCATTCCCAATTATGTAAGTTATTTTTGTTTAATTCTTTGCACAGCACAACTGTGAGGTATTAATTTTATGAATCTTATTTATTGATTCATTGCTTCTAAAGTAAAACTATTTGATAACACTGGATTTAAATCACCCTAATCATTAGTTATGATTACTTACTAGGTGCTACTGTATCCTTGATAGTTATTTTTGAAAACAGTTTAGAAAAGAAGATTAATAATAAATTCATGTCTATATTCCAGGCAATATACATATTGAAATCCCTAGTAATTTAAATGTATTTTGAGACTTCCAAAAGGTAATAATTAGCTATATTGTAGTAATTTATTTGACATAGTTATTAGGTCAAAAGAAACTTAAATGTATTGTTATTCATTTGAAAATAAGTGTTCTCGGGGTGCCAGGGTGGCTCAGTCATTTAAGCATCTGACTTCGGTTCAGGTCATAATATCAGGGTTCTTGGGTTCGAGCCCTGCATCAGGCCAGCACAGAGCCTGCAGCTTGCTTCGAATTCTTTGTCTCCCTCTCTTCTGCCCCTCCCCCACTCAGGCTTGTCTCTTTCAAAACTAAACATTAAAAAAAATGTTCTGTACCTAAACAAAAGAAGATCTCATTTTTTGCAGGCTAATGCTTTTCAAATTATGTAATTAATGGCAAAAATGCAAACAATAGAGCAATATTAAGAACTGGCTTTGTGTTGTCACAATTTTTAATTAAAACATAATCTCTTTAATTTGGAAAATTTTAGAGCTTAGAATAAATTTAGCAATATTTTAAATGGATAATAATAACAAGGTTAGAGAAGAGCAATAATTTTTTTCAGGAAAAAAATTATCTGGTTGTATTGATATAGATATAGTAAAATAAATACTTTGAGGTACATTATGTAAGTGGGAGTAAATTTTGCTTTAAGTGAAATATTTTGGGGAGTGACCTATCCAGATGGACGACGCCCCACTGATTACTTCCCATGTTCAAAGGCCTAATTTGCCGGTGCATACATTTATTCTCTGTAACCCATATAGAAAATGCTCAGCTTCAGTTTGTGCTACTTTATCTGAAACTTAGGGAGGGTTTGCTTCTTTCATTGAACGGTCTTGAAGGAAAATTATACAAAAAATTCTAATAAATATTTTACAGAGGAAATCATAAGGGGGATAATATGTGCAAGACCAACAGTTTAAGATATATAAATAATTATGTGTTCTTAAAAACTACATTTTGGTAACATAAAACATCAAAAGACATTTTAAAATTCTTTATCAGAAGTAATCATGCAGTTACTAAGCTTGAGACATACAAAAATGTTTCCATTAAATTATTATTTTTTTAGTGCAGGTTTAATGTAGTTACTGAACAAAGCACAGAAAAATATTTTTACACTCTTAACCTTGCATTACTCCATCTGTAAGATATTTTTGGTAAACATAAGGAAAAAATTAAATGTATCATTCCAATTTTGAAATTATTCTGGTCCACTTACTAACTCTCCTTAATGAGACCCTTGTGCAAAGGAATCATCACAGCTGCAAAAGTTATGCAAATCACATCATAAGGCATTCAGAGTCCATAAATCTGTGGCATTTTATATATGTTACACTATAGGACTGAAACATGTACAAAAAGTCAAATAATCTCAAACAGTTAAAAAAGCAAGTCACAGATCAATGATTTTTGTAGGGTATCTATTTGACTAAGTAGTTATCAGATTGTATTAAAACTTGTCATGTGATGGTCCAGAACCTATTTTGAAAGTGAACAATAACCTCCCTCTTTCCAAATCCAATAGAAATTTGTACTTGGTCAGAAATATGCAAGTGTATGATTACTCCATCCCCCTAGAAATACTCTCCACTCTTAGTTTTCAGATACCAAAAGCTTCTGCTTTTCCTTCCACCTATCTGGCCAGTTCTTCTCTGGCTCTTTTGTTCTCTTTTGTTGTAATTGATTTTGAAGCCACTCAGGGCTAGATTTTGGTCTCTGTTACCTTCATTCTTACTACTCTTTTCTTAACTGCCCTTATCTGATTCCATGCCTTCAAACTCCATGTCATTGCTGAGGAGTCCAAATTTATACATATAGCTCCAACATTAACTTGAACTTATGACAAGTATATTAAACAGCCTTTTTGAATGCTCCATTTAGATGTCTAATAGTTCCCTCAGACATGATATCTTCAACATGTAGTTTTCAAACTTTTCAGTCAATTCACCTATCATTGAAACATATTCATATACCCCAGATCCAATCCATTAGCATGTTCTAGCAACAAACCTCCAGTATCAGAATAAAGCTCAAATATTTCCACTTTTCTCTATTTACTCTTTAACCTACTAATGCAAGATGCTATCTTATCCTTTTTGGATAACTACAATTTCCTCCTAACCATCTCTCTACTGCCTCCTAAACTGACTCCAACCCATTTACTACAACAAAATCAAAATAAACATTATGGTGATAAAATCCCTCATTGATAAACACTTCAGTGATTTCCCTTTGCTCTTAGAATAAAATGTAAATTCATTAGATTCATGCTAATGATCTGGCCCTTTCTGATGGATATCTCCTTAAAAACTTCATTGATGTTTAACCTTTATCTCCATATATTTAATCATTATGGAGACATGGGAATGATTGTACATGCTCTTGTAAAATTCCATAAGATATATTCATCTCCTTTGGAAATTGCCCCAAACTTAACATTTATTCATCCTTTCTGATCCCACTTACTTTGAGCTGCCCCAAGAAAAGATCAACATACAAAGCTTATGTCCTTTGGTTTTGGCAGTCATTGCATCAGAACCCTGTCCTCCATATGCACATCTACTTACTAGTGTGTGTAAAATAGGATCCCTAAGTTGGAGATATGTATGACAGTAATTTGATATTCTAATCAGTTACCTTTTTCTTTATTAAATTATAATTGTATAATATGTGTGAAGGCCTTGCTTACTGTGAATCATGTACTTATTCCATTTTAGTTACATATTTATTGCCTAATAAATATGAGCTTAGCTCATTGAGGGCAGGGACTTTGTTGGCCTTGTTCACCTCTGTTCTTGGCACTGTGTCTTTGGTGATAAGAACAATTTCTAACACACAACAGACATTCAAATGAATGAGTGAATGAATGAGCAAACAAGGGGTTGTTTTATTTTCAGGTTCCTATTGAAAGAAAATTCTCCATGTGTCTCTCAAATTTCTGCATAACTTTGGAGCAAGGCACTGACCCCCCCCCCCCTCAAAAGGATGTTAATATAATGGAAAGTCTTAGAAGAGAGGATAATTCCTCTCTCCAAAGTGAAAGGCAGGCATGCTTTAAAAGCATGAAGATAATGTCTCCTTCTGTAGTAATAAGCTCATGGCAAATCCATTTCCTTTCTTGTAATACAATCCACTGCATGTTCAAGTTCCAACTGAACTGCAAAAACATTCATTAGACAAATTTAACATGCAAGGGACTATTGTAACATGGAAGAAAGCCCAGAATTTTGGCTGGACTCAACCTCACCAAAACAAAGCCAGGAGCGTTTTTAAGAGCTCAGGCAGGTGTAAGGGATTATAGGAAAAGTGTATTTGCTAATTGGCCTTACCCAAAGGTAAGGTAAATTTTCTGTCTTCACAACAAGAAGTAGTTTTACAACTTGAAGCAAGGTGTCAACTGAAGATAGGCTCTCGATATCTTTCTTGATGATTACATTTCAAAGAAATAGTTCTCAGGTCCTTGAGAAAGAAGTCCTGAGTTGTAACACGAGTTGGAGGCATTTCAAAAGATTTCCATCTAGAAATCTTGTGCAGAGAGAAATCTTGTGCAGAGAGAAATAATGTGCAATTACATGTTTTCTAAAATAAGTGCTCTAAGGAAAATGAGGTCAGGGCCCTCAAAACAAGAAGAATCTTTTCTAAATTTTGGTCAAGCTGAAGGCAAAGTTAAGGTCATGTTGGTCATCCTCTTTGGGTCACCCTATTGGAACCAGGGCTTGAAGAACAAGTGAAAGACAAACAAACAATAAAAGGTGATACTCTCTTACTGTTGTTATAGGTAATGAATTACCTTTCCCCTTTGACACACAACTCTCATGTCTTCTACCAATATACGTATATTTATGGCAGTCTAACTTGTCAGCTGGCAAGTAGGGTAAAATCACGGATTCTTCAGAGTCCTGACAATCAGGCTTTGAATTTTGAAGAAAAAATTCATCAGAATTGCTCTTTATATAATGAAATCATTTCAGCCAATATTAACATGATATATAAATATTTAGCAATTGCTAGAATTTAATAAAATTCATCTATGAAGAAAAGAATATACTGGAAAAGCAGTATATAGGAGTATCTGTCTATCATCTATCTATCATCTATCATCTATCTATCATCTATCTATTATCTATCTCTCCTTTCATCCATGACTCACTATTACTTTGTTTTGATTGCTTGTGTTTAGTGATTTCGGCTTGTGACATGAAATGCTTCATATTTTATAAGTTTTAGATAACTTTATTATGAAGTTACCAAAAAGCCAAAACACAGAAAACCCTACCCTGAATTTCAAATTGATAATATTGTGTTGCTTAATGTAGCATCATTTAAAGTAACAAACTACTTTAAACCGCAGTATAGAAATGTTTTTCAGAAGTAGAGGCACACTGTGTATCATCTCTGATTTTTAGAATTTGCTTTTTCATAGAGATATAAATAAGCAAATTAATTTTCTTCTATAAAGCACCTAGATCATACTTATTTTGGTTCTAATTGTTTTCACTTTAATAAAATGATACAATTAATAGTAAATAGTTTCTACCCCATTGCATTTGTGTAACAGCTAGAGCCTATTTTGAATTGCATCACAATTTGTACTGTTAATCTGATTTTTTAAATCTCACTGTGAAGCACATTCATTCAGTTTTCATTTCCCCCATGTTTTAGGTGTAACAGTTCTTGAAGGCCCTATTTATGCCGTGGGAGGCCATGATGGCTGGAGCTATCTGAATACAGTGGAGAGATGGGACCCCCAGAGTCAGCAATGGACATTTGTAGCCAGTATGTCCATTGCCCGAAGCACAGTTGGTGTAGCAGCTTTGAATGGCAAGTGAGTAGATTTTTCTTTTTTCATCTGGAAAATATTTTTAGTAAATATTCTTCTTAAAATAACTTTTAGTAAGCTAATCCAATAAAAATCTTTTTATAGATTTTATAATTGTCATGTTTTTTTTCCTTTAATTTTGTCTTCATGGATAATTGAAAAATTAAGACTGCATATTTTTCTGGTTGTCTCTCCATATAAAACAGAAACCCAAACTCCTTCACATTAATTGCTGGTTAAAAGCAGTATGAAGTATAATTCATAAGAATTATTTCAACTAAAGATCTGGATATTTATATACTTCCTGGTAAAATTGTCTGAGAAGCTTTCAAAATGCTATTAAAAGTTTGGGGCTTCATATATATTCTTTGCATGATTATAGTAGTCTGTCCACTTTGTACTATTTCCAACCTATTGGCCTAAGTCAGGAATTCTCAACCTCAATACTGTTGAAATTTGGGGCCAAATAATCCTTTACTGGAGCTGAGGCTCTGTCTTGTGCCTGAGTGTGCTCGGCAGAATTCTGGGTTTCTGTCCACTAGATGTCAGCTCCACCTTCATCCCAGTGTGACAACCAAAAAGTCTTCAGACATTGCCTGATATCCTATGGCGTTGACAAAATAGGCTCCCTCTCACTCCCATGAGAACTCCTGCCCTAAACAAAGTTAATAACACCTCGGGCCTGGACGACAAAAGCTTTCAATCTGGTTTCCCTACCTCTCTTTCTCCTACAGTCCATTTTCTAAATCAGCCAGAGCAATCCTTTTACAAATATGAAGCATATATCATTCCTCTTCAAGGCCTTCTCTTTGCAAAGAGTATACAGTGCCTATCTTCACCTAAAGGTACCCACTGGATCTTCTCCTGGTGTACTCTACTTTTTTTTTTCTCTTTACATCAGCCAAATTGCCCTTGTATCTGTGCCTCAAATATGGCAAGCTCTAACCTCTCAGTCCCTTTGAATTTGCTGTTTTGTTTGTCCAAGATGATGTTCCTACCAATCCTAATGTGTCCAGATCCTTCTTATTGTTCAGATGCCATCTCAAAATTTGTCCCCATGGAGGTCATTCCTATCTACCCTCTTAAAATAGACCACCCTGCACACTACCTCAAACAATTTGCTTACTGTTCTTGAAATTACATACATTATTGTTTTCCATCTCTTTTCACTAATATATGTTCAGTCAATGTTGAGATCTGTCTACATCATTCATTGTTGTGAATGGGCATAATCCACATTCAGTATGTCTATTGAGTAAATGTTAAATAAATTGCCTTATCCAATTGAGACACTTTCAATCACCTTTGACAACCTAATTTTTTTCTAAATATGTATATATTTAGAAAGTTATTATTATACCATGTTGTTAAAGAAGCTGATTTTGTCATCTAAATTGTAAATAAACATTTCCATGGAATTAAAGACTTGCAAATTCAAATTTTAATGGCTATGCAGTAGTCCACTGTCTGCAAGAAAAAAAGAAAAAAAGTCCCAAAGTGTAAGTAACTGGTTAGTCTTTGATTAGTATCTAAAGTATCTAAATATATCTAAAATATTTACATTTAACATAATATATATCTAAAATATTTCCCAAATTTTGATATTATCAATAAAGCTGCATTGCACACTGTTAGATATAATCTTTTTGGGCAAATTACTGAGTATTTCCTTAGGAAGAATTTCTGCAACGTGGATTTCAGGGGAATTGGGATTGAGTTATTTTCAGGACTAAAATAAATATAATTTAAACCTTTCCTTCGTAAGATTTACCAAAAACTTTCTGAACAGCATTACATGAAAAATACCTTTTTCAGTGCATCCTGATCAACATTTTGTTGCCATTTGTTACCACCTAAAAGGAAACTGAAAAATATTTTGTTAAAATGTAAATTTTTATAGTTGCAAGATTAAAGTTGTGTGTATTCCTTATTCTATTTATATTTCTACTTTCATGGAATATATAGCAATATTTTCCACTGGCATCAACATTGTGTCCATTTATTCTTTTAATTGTATATGTTTTGGCACACAAATTTCATGTTTGTGTATTTATATCAACCTATTTTTGTTTATTATTTCCTCTGGCTTAGGCTTTTTCAGGTTTCACTTAAGTTATTTTAGGCAGAAAACGACATTGTTAGTGTCATAGATTTGAAAATCCCTTGAGGATTTTGCCTGGAAACAAATATCACAGGTATTTACATTTGAAATCTTTTCATTTGAGAATATGGGCCCGCTTTCGTCTCTTAAAATCAACCTCTATACATTTTGGTGGTTTTTAATTTTGGCATGGCCTTCATATCTTATTTTGAGGTCTGTTCACATTTATTTATACTTTTGTGCATTTTTATTATATTAATTCATATATATTAATAATTATACATTTACAGTACACTAGAGAAAATAGTTTATATATATCTATATATATATATCTATATATATAATAGCCATCTTACTAAATTCATGTTAGTTCTATTAGTCTTTTATTTTATAATAACTGATTTTTTAGGAAAATAAACATAGTAAACTAATAATGAAACTTTATCCCTTCTTTCTTAATATTTACATTTATTTCATTTTTACTGTATTGCTTTTACTTTTAAAATAATGCATAAATAGTAATGAGACCAGGTGTCCTTGTCTGTGTCCTCTAACTGGAAAGACTTTAAGGTTTCATAATCTGTGTATGATGTTAGTTGTTCTTTGAGATATATGTACTGCATGATGTTAAGGGCAAGTTATTGTCTGCAGTTTGTTTAGTGGATATTTTATCCTAAAAAAACAGCATTGGTTTCATGTTTCATTAAATTATTTCCAAGAATCTATTAAAAATGGTATCTTTTTTCTTTTTTGACCTATTCATGTGGTAGTTTATATAAATACTCTAACTGTAATGATCATTACATACATAAAATAAAACCAGCTAATTGATGTTTCATTATTCCTTTGATATTTTGTTGCATTCCATATTCTAACTATGATTTTGCATCTATATGTGGTCCACATAGCTTTTGAAAAACCATTTCAGAACATTTTCCATTATGATATCTTAGATAATAATAATCACAACATGAATTGAGAGCTTTCTACAATTTATCTGCTATAACTTGCTATAAACATCAGAAATTTCTTGAGCAAGAGAAAGAAATAGTGGTAGAAAGTATATGTACATGGTTATATATATTCCCTTTAAAATTTTTATTTTACTGGGGCGCCTGGGTGGCTCAGTTGGTTAAGCATCCGACTCCGGTTAAGGTCATGATCTCATGGTTCGTGGGTTCAAGCCCCACATCAGGCTCTGTGCTGACAGCTCAGAGCCTGGAGCCTGCTTCAGATCCTGTTTCTCTCCATCTCTCAGCCCCTCCCCTGCTCATGCTCTGTGTCTCTGTCTCTTGCCCCTCCCCTGCTCATGCTCTGTGTCTGTCTCTCAATAATACATAAACTTAAAAAAAAATTTTAAATTTTTATTTTACTGATATTTTAAAGTGGAATGCAGGCCTATTTTGTTTATAATTCTAGACTATTAATAATATTCCATTTTGTATTGTTTTAAAACTTCCTTTTGTATTGTTATTTTCCTCCTAATTTGATATTTTTATGTGCTAGCACATTTATTAATTTCATTTTGCCTTAGCTTTTGTCTGTTTCATTATTGTTCTTAATTTTTTTTTAAGTTTATTCATTTTTGATGGGGGGAGAGGGGCAGCGAGAGCACAGAGAGAGACGGCACAGAATCCGAAGCAGCCTTCAGGCTCCAAGCTCTCAGCAGAGCTTGACGTGGGGCTTGAACCCACAAACCGTGAGATCATGACCTGAGCTGAAGTCAGACGCTTAACAGACTGAGCCACCCAAGTGCTCCTGTATTTATTTTTAATCAAACATGTACATATACAGAAGCTATGCGTGTTTTCTCCACTTGTTTTTTTATTCATCAATTTGTGCTTGACTTAGTTTTATTTATTGACTTGTTTTATGTCTTGAAATTCAGAATTTAATAAAAGATAGTATTAATAACTATCTTTGTAGTTTATTCTTTAATGTATAGAAATTTTATGTACTCAATCTCTTATAACTGGACATTTTAATAGTTTCCAGTTCTTGAATTAAGAACAGTGCTGGGCGCCTGGGTGACTCAGTCAGTTAAGCACCAGACTTCAGCTCAGGTCATGATCACATGGTTCATGGGTTCGAGCCCCGAGTTGGGCTCTGTACTGACAGCTCAGAGCCTGGAGCCTGCTTCAGATTCTGTGTCTCCATCTCTCTCTGGCCCTCCCCCTCACTCTCTCTCTCTCTCTCTCTCTCTCAAAAATGAATAACCTTAAAAAATTGTTTAAATACTTTGATAAGAACAGTGCTGCTGTGCATGTCTTTATGTACATCCTTTGTGAGCGTGGGTACACATTTTAGGTGGGTATAGACCTGGAACTGCAATTGTTAGGCTACGTGGCATTCTTGTGTTCAGCTTTAGTAGATACTGCTTTTGCAAGCTGATTTCCGAATTTATTTACACATTAAAAGTGTATTCAAATTCTGGGTACTCGGGGGTACCTGGATGGCTCAGTCGGTTAAGCGTCCAACTTCGACTCAGGTCATGATCTCATGGTTCAAGAGGTCGAGCCCAGCATTGGTCCCTCTGCTGTCAGTGTGGAGCCTGCTTCAGATCATCTGTCTGCCTCTCTCTTTGCACCTCCCCTGCTCTCTCTCTGTCTCTTTCTCAAAAATAAAAACATTAAAAAAAATTCTGGATACTATATACCTCACTGACTTGGTAATGTCATTCTTTTATCTTTTATGTTTTTTATACATTCTAGTGGATAGAGCTATCACATTCCACTAAAGATTAATGAGATTGGACATTTTAAAAATGTTTATTAGTCATTTGTCTATCTTCTTCTTGAAGTATATGTCTTGAAGTATATGGCTTTTAAATTGGCTATACATAGAATTCATCATTTTGGTCTTTTTTCTTGTCCTTGTAATTTTTGGTCAGCTAGGTTATGTAATA